AAAAATTAAAAAAAAAAAAAAAGAAAGTAGTTGCTTCTGGGTCATAGGAACGTCTTTTAGTGAGCATGAGAATACAAGCTGACTTTTTAAAACTATGTGTATATATTATTTTGATAAAAATGAAAATTAAATTTCAAAAGTAAGCAATAAAATAAGTGGTTACATTGTGGAGGTTGTAGCTATGGTACCTATAAAACAGATGGAAAGCCTGACAGTTTGTGAATGGGTACTTGGGCTTGGAGTCCAGCTACAGCTTCAGAATAACTCAGACAGTGCCTGCATTCTAGACAATCCAGCTGAAGCAACGATGTGCTCTGACTGGGGAAGTGGCTCTGGTGGTAAAGAGGACATTAGTGTCAAGATACATGAAAGAATTTGAATAAAATTGTTTCAGAAATGTGAATTTGGAAAAAATGCAATATTTCTAAATTAATGTAGTGTTTTGCATAACATGTCGTTTTAAATATGTGTATCAGTAATTGATTTAATTAAATATAAATAGAAGGGAAAAAAAGATGGACTTGACCAGTCACCTCCTTCAAGTAGACAAAATCTTACTTTCCTTATTTTACAGTTGAGGAAACTGTAAAAGATCCAAAGAGATCCAAAGAGAATAAACAGCTGCCTACGTGCACTCAGCTAGACCATGAGGAAGGCAGCCTGGAATCGGACTCATCTGCATCCTAGTATTTGCAGTTTACCAACTGCACAGCATCTTTCATTTGAGGACAAGAAAGCATCTATAAGCCCTGTTAGGCCTCATGACTCTTTGAGGCAGGGGAGAAACAAATTTTAGTCTTCATGTTAAGTCAACGAAGGAACAGAAAACACAAAGAGATTATTACTACTAATGATAATAAAACCTCTATGTATGTAGCACCTTTGCTGTGAGAAGGCCATGCTATTAATCCATGATCCTACCTCTTCATGAGGAAAGCAGGCAGCAATTAGCATCCTTATTTTACAGACAAGTATACTGAGGCTGAGAGACTCTCTACCCACAAATTTAATAACCTAGATGAAATAGACCAGTTCCCTGAAAGACACAGTCTTCCAAAACTCACACAAGAAGAAAGAAACTATCTGAATAGGTTTATATCTATTAAAGAAATTGAATCAATAATGAATAACCTTCCAAAACAGAATGCACCAAGCCCAAATGGGTTCACTGATGAATTCTACCAAATATTTAAGGAAGAAATTTTACCAATTTTCTACAATCTCTTCCAGAAGATAGAAGCAGAAGGAATACTTTCTAATTCATTCTATGAGGTCAGCCAACATTACCTTAATACCAAAACCAGATAAAGACATTACAAGAAAAGAAAACTACAGACCAATTTCTGACAAAACAAAATATAGTCTTACCAAACGATCCTGTAATTATGGTCCTTGGTATTTACCCAAAGGAACTGAAAATTTATGTCCACACAAAAACCTGCACACAGATGTTTATAGCAGCTTTATTCATAATTGTCAAAACTTGGAAGCAACCAAGATGTCCTTCAGGAGGGGAATGGATAAATAAAGTGTGATACATCCGGACAATGGAATATTATTCAGTGCTAAAAAGAAATGAGCCATCAAGCCATGAAAAGACATGGAGGAACCTTAAATGCATATAACTAAGTGAAAGAAGCCAATCTGAAAAGGCCACAAACTGTACATTTCCCACTATATGGCATTCTGGAAAAGGCAAAATTGCAGGGACAGTGAAAAGATCAGTGTTTGCCAGGTATGGGTATGGGGTAGGATGAATAAGCAAAGCACAGAGGATATTTAGGGCAGTGAAAATACTCTGCATGATACCATAATGATCAATACATGTCATTATACATTTGTCGAAATCCATAGAATGTACAACACCAAGAGTGAGCCCTAACATAAACCACAGACTTTTGAGTGATTATGATGTGTAGATTCATCAGGCATAAAAAATGTACCACTCCAGTGAGAGATGTTGACAATGAGAGAGACTATGCACGTGTGGGGACAGAGGTATATGGGAAATCTCTGCACCTTCCTCTCAATTTTCCTATAAAATTAAAACTGCTCTTAAAAAAAAACAGTATTTAAAAACATGGGCTTAATTAAGGGGTTAAAGGTAACATCAGCAGTATTGGGACAAACTGAATTCATGTGCCACCTGATGGGATGCAATGAGAAGAACACAGCACCACTTCTGTGATATTCCTGCCAAAGACATAACCGGAATGCAATCATGAGGAAACATCAGACGAATCCAAGAGACATTCCACCAAATAACTGGCTTGTAATCTTCAAAAGTGTGAAGGTCATGAAAGTTAACCTCTACTGGACGCCTGTTACCCAGCAGGATTCTGTGGGCATTGGGGATTCAAATATGAAAAATACTGGGTTTTTGTTCTTAGGGAGCTCCCAGTCTAACTGAGGAATTGGGCACAACAGACAACTGGATGAACCTTCCAGCTAAGTAAAGTAGGCCTTCAATTGGTCCAACTTTATTTATCAATATGCTTTTGGAGATCATATACCATTCCCATCAGCAAAGCCGTAGGAATAAGTGAGCACAGAGAGAAGGCTGCAGGAGCAAGCCATAAGGCTAGAGACGGGACGTCCAGCATGACCACAGACTTAACACCAGGGTGCCTTAATTCTCTATTTGCAAACACAAGGAACTAATACTAATGAGTATTGTTAGATCAGGGAGCTCCTTTTGGTTGCAAGTGGTAGAAAAGCAAACTTGTCTAAACCAGTAAGGGGACAGTATAGGCCCATTTAACCAAGGGGTGGGTAGGGCAGGAGTGGACCAGGATTCAACCCCTTCAGAACTTATCTCACGCCTCTCCTCTCTGCTTCTCTCTGCTCATTGGCCTTAGTCTCCTGCTGCAGGTGGGCTTTCCCAGGCAAAGTGGATACATGCCCCAGAAACTTCAGCCACACATCATAATACACCATTACCAGAGAGCACAGGAGTCTTCCCTGCCGACTCCACTCAGAAAATCCTCAGGGAAGTACCCTGATTGGCCCAGCCCTGGGCACAAGTCCATCTCCAGACCAATTACTATTGCCAAGTCCACTATCAATACAGTATATATCCTTAGAGATCCTTGAATTCAAATTGTTCCGTTGGAAAGGGAAACACCCCTCAAATGCCCTTTCAAAGACCTTATAACACTTATGATTTTAATGATTATGCAATAAGTGCTTTAATATTAGTAACACATTAAATATCTCCATTGATTTTGATTTCACTAATTTGAAATTTATTCTCATGCGTACATAGTACTATGATTTGTATTTGCTCAATAGTTCAAAATAATTTGACTTTTTTATATTTATAATATATTAATATATGATATATGACAAAAAATATACCTTTTCATTTAGTTGACTAATAACCACAGGTATTTTCATTCATTATACATAATATTTTAAAACTTTAAATTATGTTTCAAGTATTCCATAATTCGAAATTTTCCCTTATCCAAACTCAGTTTCTTCCCAATAATTCTAAACCAATGAGGATCTGCTCTTCTCTTTCTCCACGCCTTTCTTCCTCTCTCTTATCTCCATCAAACCCACCCCCTCTACTGCTCCCATAAAACATCTAGGAGAACTCATTCATTTCCTCACAAGACAAGATGTTTGGCTTTAGGGTGCCAATGTGGTTGGGCAGGTTCTCTGCCCAGGGCCTGGGCACAGTTCCCAGTGGGATTTGTTCCAGTAGAGGATCGCCCAAACAGGCCCCTACAGGAGAATCACCAGATCCCAGTTTCTAGGAATGAATGTATTTCTGTTACGCATTCAAAAAGAATGTTTCATCAGGGCATGGGGCAAGCCCTGTTTTCACTGAATTTTGGCTCAGTGAACTTTGAGGAATGACGGGGGAGGAATTTGGGAGAACAGTTTAAAAAAGGATCACATTTCAGGTCCCCAGTCACCCCAAGAATGGGGCTCCTGAACTGTACCTTTGAGAAATGAATGCTGAGTGCCGTGATCCAACACGACATTCACTCTACCTTAGGAATAAATATTTATGTGGTGATAAGAAACATCGCATATACGTATGCATTTCCAGAGACATATTTACATCTGAAGGAACTAGAAGCAGAGCAATATGTTTCCCTGGGGACTCATTTTTCTAACTTCCTGTCAGTCTCAATGATGGCCGCCATGTGTTTACTGCTAGTAAGTGACATCATCACTGCCTCATTCAGACAGCACACTTTGAAGAGACACTCAACTTGACCCACTCAGACATACTCTGTGTGTGTGTGTGTGTGTGTGTGTGTGTGTGTGTGTGAATATTTCTATCAGCTACCACATGCTTTTAATTTATTGCATTTTCAAATGTCTAGACATTTACTCAAGGTTAAAAGAAGGTAAGTTTTAACGCCCAAGAAATATAATAAGTGATCTTGTTTCCGACCACAATCCTCCTTAAATTGAATAAATAAAAAAAGTACTAAGAAATAATTTTTTAGAACCATGGCACAAAGGGCTCATAAAACGTAGGTGAAGTTCTGTCTACTCTGAATTCCTCCACTTCTCCTATTACGACACTTCTTTTGACTCAATTGCCCTCAGTTTTGATACCCACCATGACTGGTTCTTGGCACAAACCTTTGACCCTATTTCTTCCCAGGCTCCCTTCTCTGTCCTGATTAGCCCCAGCGCTCCCCAAAACCTGCATCACCCCGTCTGCACCCTCCACAGGGGCCACTTTAGAATCCCTGATCTCTTGTGAACATAGAGGATGTTTTGTGAGAAGTGATTGTATGTGGGTCCCACCCTCCCACCCTCATTTACAGTCTCAGGCCTCCCACCAGCCCAGCATGGCCAGAATTGGCAAACACAGATGTTGAAAGGAGTAAGGCAGAAAAGATGTGAAAGGAGGAATAATAGAGCAGCCCTAGTTGCCCCAGGCCCCACTCCCACTCCAGTAAGATAAAGGTGAAGGAGGAAGGTTTGGAAAGGAACCAAGAAGGGAACGTTCAGTGTGGGAGACTCACTTGCTTGGGCAACTCACTTGCTCATTCTTTGGCAAGTTGGGTTGGAGGTGGAAAGGGAAGTAAGAGCACATGATAAAGCCCCCTTTTAAGTTTCAGAATCCAAGAACAGGCAGGGCCTGAGCTTCAAATGCCGGAGGAGGCTCAGGGAGACAGCAGGCTGCACAGAGAGGTTCTCCCTGGGGTTACCAGCTTGTGGGACCCCTACAGGGGACATGGCAATCCGAGAGTGTGTGTAGGCATGGGAGGGCATCTGAAAGTGCCATGGCGACCCCCTTCCAGGGGGCTTATGTGGCGAGGAAGCAAAACCATCACATCCCAATACCTATCCTGGGAAAAGGAATAATGCCTGGAATGATAATTCTGAATATGATTGAGTTTGTTCCGAGTGTGACAAAGTTTTAAATCAGAAATGCCCCCTCCAAATTACTAAATGTAGCTCAATTGACTTAACAAGTAGCCAGACTAATTTTTCCTCTGTATTAGAACTAAATTCAGTTATCAAAAGAGTTATATTTTTTATGTTTGATATTTGAAAGCTCAACCCATTACATGCATAATTTGCCCTATGGCTTCAAACATTTCCTATATACCTGTTCTATCACCCTGCATTAAATTAAGTGGAATTTGACGTTTTCCCACTGACACCACATCCCTTACCATCTTCTCCAGTGAAAGGTGAGTTTCATCCAGTTCTGTCTCAAGGGATACCTTCCGTGACTCCCCCCTTCCACTCCCACAGCACTTTCTCATCATAGCATTTATTGTACTCATAATTATTTGTGATTATCTATTGTACTATTTATTTAATATTATTATTTAATATTGTGATTATCTCATCAACTGGACTATAAGATCCATGTCTTTTTGATTGTGTCTGTCCCCAGGGTCCAGCATGGTGCCTGTCCTATACTAGGGATTCAATAGAATCTGGTAGAGACTCTACTTAACAAATTTGAAACTCACAACCCTTCACTGATACACACAAGCTCCTCTGGAAGGCAAGAGTGCATCAGATCTAATCAACAATATTACAGTCTAATCTCCACCACAAATACAGCTAATTTATAGCTAAAGTAAACTGGCAGCTTTTCTGCTCTGTCTCAAAGGGTGCTACTTGGGACATGCTCCTGCAAAGAAGGCCCGTTTCCATCAGTTGGCATCATACCCGATCTTCAAGGCCCAATTTAAAACTGACTTTGGAGACAAAGTTGACCAACATAGAGAGGGGGAAATAAGAGGAACCTCAACATAGAAGCAAAGTCTTGGGAGGCTGGGTGGGATGCTGGTTAAGATGCAGTAACAGGTGTGGAGAGATGGAAGTCCCTCGCCTAATGAATTCCTCGTGGGGTGGCTTATTTGCTGCTGGCATTCCATTCCTTTCTTAGAGCAGCAGCCTATGGACTGCCATGTGCCTTGTTTAATTTATGTCTTCCTCAAACATCGTCTGGAATATGGCAAAGTCCCAAGACACAGAATAGAAAAGCATAGACTTTATCCTCAAAGATAAAGTCAAGGATGAACAAGTAAGTGAATGATTACAATCTAATGTGGGACCAGTGATAGGACAGAGCAGTGCATGGGGTAACTGACAGCAGCAGCCCAGCCTGAAGGGAGACAGAAACTCTCAGAGAGGAAGGGTTAGGAAATGAGAAAGGTGAGCACTCAAGGTGGAATGGGAGGGCAAAGAGCTAAATCCTCACCTTCCAGAGGGAAAAACCAACAGATAATGACTAAAGCTGGAAAATCCAGAAGTAGAAATGCGTGTATGCTTTTTGGAGAACTGGAAGTAAATTCTAAAATGACCAGTTCAAAAGAGGTGAAGGAGGGGGCCTCTGGGAAGAGGAGAAATGGAAGGAAAGGAGGGGCTGATGGTTTTCATAGCAAACTATACAAAGCTTGGCTATCACTGACAAAACCGAAAACTAAAAATAAAGAGGAAAAACAGGCATTGAAAGCTTACTTTGAAAGCTGCATAATATCCATCACATGGAGATGTCATATTGTAAGGAATCTCCTACTGATGAATATTTAAGTTGTTTCTCTTTGTCCCTAGTAAAATAAGGCCATGTTGAACAGCTTCGTCCATGGATCTTGGTCTGCATCTCTGATTGCCTCCCTAGGGTAGATTCCCATTCTGGGGCAGAAGGCAGTGGACTCTGTTAGAAAAGCCATAGCCTTCCACCATAACCCATGGTCCTCCAATTAGACCCAACAAAAATGCCCTTGAAGACAAAGGGTAGTAAATTTAATTAGTTTAATTATACACTTATTTTAATTAGTTAAATTATATGTGTTCATTCATTAGTTTAATTTTATGTATGAATCTTATGCTTCACTAGCCCACCCCAGCCTCAGACCCCATGGGAAGAGGAGAGGAAAGCCAACCAAAAGTGTGTCCAGCAGTCTCAAGGTGTGTCAGCTGTTCCTGGGCCCAGGAAAAGCAGCCACCTGTCACCTCTGGCCAGGCCTGCAGGGCATGGGTAGAGTTCTACAGCTGAGGGCTCAGCCATCCTGAGAGCCAATTGAGACTTGCCAGAATTGGGTGGAGAGCTGAAGAGCCATTACCAACTGTCTGACGGGAGCCTGGCGCCGAAAGCTAGATGTGTGCTCAGATTCCCCTGCTACCATTCCCATAAGTGTAACTGCTAGTCCCGAAGGTCTAGATGTCGGAAAGTTCTGGGTACATAACATCAATCCGCTTTCCAGAGCCCTTGTGCAAGGTTATCTCCACCAAAAATGATACCAAAAAGAACATGAACTTCTGGGCTCTTGCAAGCCGATTTATTAATGTTTGAAGGTCCTTTTCTAAACGGATTTTGGAGAAATTGTGAGACGCTACCCTGAGCTATGAATTGTAAATTATGAAACAGCTAATGTCAGATCCCTGGTGTTCCTATCCTTGACTTGGCGTTTCTCTAGTCCTGTGCTAATTATCAACCTCTAGCCCCATGGGGCTACTGAACATGTGAAATGTGGCTAGCCGCAATTGGATGTGCTACAAGTGAAAGTACACCCCAGATTTCAAAGACTTAGTGCAACGAAAGAATGGAAAATATCTCATTGTTTTTACATTGATTACAGGCTGAAGTGACAATATTTTGGATATATTGGGTTAAATAAAAATACACAATTAAAATTAATTTTGCTTGTTTTGTTTTACTCTTTTTCATGCGGCCACTAAGAAATTTTAAATCACATATGTGGCGCATGCTGTGCCTTGCATTATTTTTCTATTGAACAGCATTATTCTATAGAGAAGAATTTTTTGTTTCAACCCAGGGAGCTGTAGGCCAAGATTTACTTCACAGCTGGTTTCCTAATCTGCCCCTGTTCTTGCTCCTGCCCTGAGGCTACAATTTTCAAAGGGGAAACAACAAAAGGTAAACCGCTTGCTTTTGCGTCCCTGTGTTACAGCTGCGTGGTAGAGAGCTGCAGTTTCTGGGAGCAGCCAGTAGAGGGAACTCTTACCACACTTAGAAGTGAAAAACAGTTCATACTGTTTGGAATATAAATTCTTTTTAACCAACTCAGGATTATTAATTGATTAACAGATTGATTGAACCAAGAGAATTAATTAATTCATATTGAGTAGAAGAATTTCTTTAACATTTTCAGATGGATCTGATATTAGAGAACTGCTCCAATAGCCAAACAATTATTAAAAGGAGCAATAATGTTTCAACTCTTCTTTTAATTTTTTTTCCTAAACCCCTTTTAATTACAATTCTTAAAATAATTTGAATTTCCCTTTCAGACTCTAGACACTGACCAGCAAAACTCTAAAATTTCCTGATGTAACTACTTCATTTATAAAGGAGTTTTATCCTTTGTCATTTATATAAAATATTTACAACCAAAGGGTGACTTGGTAATCAATATTTAATGTCCTGTCATAATTAGGGTTCTTAATGGCAATTACTCTTCTGAAGCTAATTGTCCCTGAGTTCTGCTTCTCCTTGGAACCTTCCGGTAATATTTGGATAATAAATTAGTTTAATTTGATACTGCCATTGCTCAGGGTTCTTGCTTGCAAACGAGAAAAACTGACTTTGTCTAATTTAAACAAAAGGAGAGGAAATTCATTGAAAGGATATTAGGATGACTGTAGAACTGTAGGGAAGGTCAGAGAATCAAGTCCAGGAATTAAGCAGGAACCAAAGGAGACCAGAAACCTCCCCACTCACCCGCCCATGTGCCACCCCTGTGCCGTGGCCACACGCAGGGCCACTCACTCCACTGCCCAGTATGGAATCTGACCCCACTGCCCCTAAAGCTTTGGGCCACTTGCTCAGGGTTCAAAATCTCAGACAAGAACCTGAAGCAGAGCTTGTGAGCTCACGCTCTGCCCATCAGGGAGACTGTCCCCCTCGACCCCACCCCAGCCTCCACATTGAGAAGCAGGGCCCTGCCTCCCTCCTCTACTTGGGCAATCTGGGTGTTGTGGGCTGAATTGTGTCCTCCAAAAATAGATATGTTCGAGTCCTAAGCCCTGGTACCGTGAGTGTGACCTTATTTGGAAATAGGGTCTTTGCAGATTTAATCAAATTAAGATGAGGTCATACAGGATTCGGGTGAGCCCTATATCCAAGATGGCTGGTGTCCTTATAAGAAAAGGAAAACTTGGGCTCAGACACAAGGAGAACACAATGGGACAGCAGAGGCAGAGATTATAGTGATTGCTCTACAAACCAAGGGATGCCAAGGAGTACAGGCAACCACCAGAATCTAGGAGAGGCAAGAAAGGATCTTCCCCTGGAGCTTTCAGAGGGAGCATGGCTCTACCAGCACTTTGATTTGGGACTTCAAGCCTCCAGATTAGAGAGAAAATAAATTTCTGTTGCTTGAAGCCACCAAGTTTGCGGTACTATACTTTGTTACAGCAGCCCTAGGACACTGAAGCACTGGGATCCCCTAAACAAGGGAGGGTAGTTTGGAACCTGGGCAACGAGAAACCCCAGACACAATCTTCTGTTCTCTGTGCTTAGACATTTGACAAGATTTCTTTAAAATTCTTTTTTAAATTCTTTCAATCCATCACAGAAATATTTCAGAAACTAACAAAGAGCTAGGAAATCTACAGATTTACTACATTTGGATTTATTCATGTAAATATGTTAATTAACTTGTGAATAAATTCTAATATAAAATTAAAAAACTACAGAGCTAAATATGACCCAATCCCACCTGTCATATATATTTATATGGAGCAGAGGGAGAGGTGGCATCTCACATTTATCAAGGGCCAGCTCCCTCCCAGTAACATAGGTTCCGTCTTAACTGTCACACTAACCCCTGATAGTGGCATTAACCGTTGAGAAAATGGGACTTAACATGAACATGTGATCCGGCCAAACTCACGCATCTAGTACATGACGCCCACTTTTCTTCCCTGTTAGGCTAAAAAGAACATCTGCAGCAGAGATGAGCTTAAGAACTGATCGGGAAATAAGAATCTTCTGTGAAACTTCTCTGGAGAAGACTCTGCACAAACCAGGTGATCAGCACCATCCTGCCCCCATGCCTGGCCCTGGCCTCTCCTTTACCACAAAGAGCCAGTTCGAGAGTTCGTTCCTCTTAGTAGCCAGCCTGGACCAGCCCAGAGCAGTCTCCTCTTTCTGCAGCATCTGCTGCCTATAACACTCAGCTCACACTTGTCTCTCACGACTGTCGACCGCTGATCTCTCCATATGGGGAATGGATTATAAACTCTGAGAATAGGAATCGTGCCTTATAGAGGGATCTGCCAGCAAAATGTCAAAGCTGGAAACACTACAGATCAATGCTCACTTGTGAGCACCAACAAGGAGTCTCAAGTCCGAGAACAGCGAATGACAGGTGCTCAAAAATGGGATGAATTAATTAATTCAAAGTTGATTCCGGAATCAAGCATTATTGTGTAAAATTTAAAGCATTTCTTACTTTGCACGTTATAATGATCACTTTTGGTGCAAATGAGATGAAGGAACTGGCCGAGGTTGGCAGAAACCTGCTGCTGTTCTGTGTTTGCCTGAAAGATAGAGGAAGCAGTCAACAGTATCCAGATGTGGCAAAAACGCAGACGCACGGAGCAGGGAGGATGCAATGTGCCAGGGATGGTGGTGAGAAAGAGGAGCCTGAGAAGAATGACTGAGGAAAATGCCAAGCTGAAAAGAAGCTGCATCCAGTCCGTGTTGTAGCCCTTCAATTAACTTAGGACCTGCTAGAGCTGGCCTAACTGCCTGTAGAAACCACAGGCATTAAGTGTCAGAATTAACTGTGAGATCAGAGTAAAAGACGTTACAGAGGTATCATCCAATACCTTGG